GATATAATATATTTAGCAATATCTCCAGATTTATGGATAGGAGCGTTATCCATGATAAGATAGTGCCCTTTATATGTGAGTACCGATCCATTTCATCCATCATGGCCTTCAGAAAGCTAAAATAATGACCAGTTACTGTCCCTATGCTCGTTAACTCAACATAACCTTCTCTCTTTCTTTTCTTGGCTGACGGCTGCGGTAATCTCAGGCTACACTTTATTAAACCTGAAGCAGAGATCGCATCTAAAATCGTTGTTGTTTGTGCTCGAGTTTTGGGCACTGTGACCACAGCAGGTAATCCTTTTTTTGACCAGGCCATACTACGTTTCAAATTAATGTGAAATGCAGACTCATCGAGAAAGACACAATTAGTTCTAAAGTCCATGTCCGTACACTCCCACTTATGAACCCAGTCAAAACGCTCCTGAATTTTTTCTTCACTGTTCCTATCTACAGGCTGGAATTGGGCTTTTTTGAGTGACAAATTACATTCAGTTCTTACAAAATTGTAGACAGCGCTTTTAGAGACCTTGAGATCCTGAAACTTTTGAAGTAGTCGCTCCATTACTTGTTCCAAGACGGCTGAAGGATTCTCATCTATATACTCCAAGGCCACTTGCTTGTGTTCTTCTTGAAGTATACGCGAGTGACCGGTTTTCTTATGCTTTATAAAAATACTATCAGGATCCGTTTTGTACATTTGAGCCCATCTTTGAGCTGTGCGAACATGAATACCTAATTGTTTTGCAGCAGCTGAAGCACTCATAACCTTCTCAAACATCAGTTTAAAGAATCTAACTTTGCCTTGATCCGTATAGAGTGTGTACGCTCGCTTACTCGACGCCTCCTTCATGCAAGCATCTGGGTCATCTTTGGCATCTTCATCTGCCACAGAGCCTACATCGAAATTATTCTCCTGAGGCTGATTATGCAAATACTGAGTGTGTGAACTAACTGTTTCTAAAGCATATCGCTCTTCATCAATGATATAGTCCATAGGGTCAGGTCTACCGTATTCATCAACTGCATTACCGTGCACGTCTTCGTAGAAAATTTGAAAGCTCATATTGTAATACTCGGTTTTTAATGAGAAAGGAAATAAAAAAGAAAGAAGAAAAAAGAAAAAAAAAGAGCTAACGGTGCTTTCGTGCTTCATATACACATATTTTGTACAAGGTTCCTACATATACGACATTCAATTTGTCAGTAAGCGAAATCAGCCAATGGTTTATGTGACAATAGAATTTAACGAACGCGAATTTTACTCTTGGCATCAGTGTCAATAATTTTTGGAAATACTGTATAACAACCAAGGCCCTAGTGGTCATGATAAAACCTGTCCTCGGCACCCCAACCAATCCTTCACCAAAGCCCACGCCATTCGTTGTCTCCAGATGCACCGTCGACTTATGATGCCCGAAACAATTTCAGATCCATTATCCTTCCTTTTGAATATGCTACCTTTGAAGAAACCACGCTCCTTTCAAGCCGCTCTCCCATGGACCATTCGTTGGCCAGCTATATGCGCTCTTCTTCATGAACTTGA